TCTTGTCGGACTTGGCAGACAGCGTGAGTGAGACTGCCAAGAACTTTATTGGCTCAAGGAATTAACTCTATAATTACTGGATTTGCTTGCTTGTTTGTATTCAGTTGGAATTTGGACTTCTCACCTCCTTGGTAAAGGTGAGACATAACATGTAAATAAAATAATGACTTTAAAAAAAGGATTTGATTGCTGTATCTGAGCCTAGTATTAGCCACTACATTATCCCATCTCTTTTTTTCCTACCCAGAAAAACCTTTTTTATTGATGTTTTTCCAGATGGCTGTATGTATAGATGTCCTTCCCCTGTCAAAATCTGATTCCAAGAGGAAGGCTGAGCAGTTGACAGGGAGTGGAAGTGTGGCTCCATTGGCTATGGAAGAAACTGGGGAAGGGCAAAGTCCAGCTGGGCAGAGCGGGGGAAGGGTCGAGCAAGGTAGAGGGAATTTGGAGAAAGACCCAGGCCCACCCCCTCTTCATCCTAGGACACGCAGGGAGGAACGGAGAAGGGAGCAACGTGAGTTGTGTGGCTTATGGGGAGGAAAGGGCTCTGATTCCCTTCATTAGCTGCAGCTGGGAACACAGTGTTTAAAAAGGGGACTTGTGCACAGCCAACTGTTGAAAACAAATCGTGAATTATCTGCTATTGTCAAGGCTTATCTGGGTTCTTGGCATCTTCCCAACTGTGTTTTGTTGGCCTTTCAAGTTTGCAATTCCTTTTCCTGCCCTGTCAAGTTAATTACTACAGTGTGGTTTGTGTGGATTTTTATTTACAGTTTGTATGTACTTTGTTTTCGGACTGAATTTCCTCCACTTAAAGACTGTTTTTGGGAGAGATTTTTCTCCAACTGAAGGTAAACCTGACATTGGGAGCAAATTTGGAGGTACTAAAGGGACTCTTCTTACTTATGTGACTTTGTTGCCTTTGTGTCATGCCCCGGGTCATCACAATAGATCAAGTTAATTGTTAAATAGATAATAAGATCTAAGAAGAAGTTGTTTGCTCAAAACTGGATCTTTTTCTTATTCTTTTTCTATTTCTTATGTATTAAATATATTAAATATGTTGAGCTCTGGCCTCAGTATAATTATATAGATTTTGGGGATGAAGATGCATCCAAGTAAGCCAGTATCACATCATTTTTTATCACATCTTTCACAAAGGGTTAGGATGAATGAACATATCTCTTCTGTGAAGATTCTCAATACTGGCACTCCTCAGGGCTGCGTATTGAGTCCACTCCTATTCACTATTTATACATCTGATTGCACCTCTATTCATCTGAGTAATAAGATCATTAAGTTTGCAGATGATACAATGTTGGTGGGGCTCATTTCTGATAATGATGAGTCTGCGTACAGGGATGAAGTTCATCAGTTGTCCCTCTGGTGCAAAGTAAACAATCTTATTTTTAATATAAATAAGACGAAGGAATTCATAGTGGATTACAGGAAGAGCAGTTCAGATATCCAGCTGTTGTACATCGATGGTGTTTTGGTAGAACAGGTGGCAGAATGTAAGTTTCTAGGTATCACCCTGAAACAAGATCTAACATGGGGGGCAAACACTTTAGCCCTAGAAAAAAAGGCTCATCAACGACTGTATTTTTTAAGACTTTTAAGATCACAACAACTGCCAGTGAATCTGTTGGTTGCCTTTTATCAAAGTTCTATAGAGAGCATTTTATCCTATTGCCTCTGTGTGTGGTTTAGGAGTTGTACAGAGGCGGAGAAAAGGGCACTCCAAAGAGTGATAAAAAGGGCACAAAAGATCAGCGGATGTTCTCTTCCCTCATTGGAGGATTTGTATAACATGGGATGTAGAAGGAAGATACAAAAGATCTTGGAAGACTCTTCACATCCAGGCCACTCGTTGTTTGAGATCCTACCATCAGGAAGACGATATAGAGTGCTGAAAGTCAGGACAAGTAGATTTAAACATAGCTTTTACCCAAGTGCTGTGATCAGGTTAATGCAGAGTTATGAATCTGGTGGTCTTAACATATATATATCCTGGTTGTATAGTTTTTAACTGTTATTTGTTTTAATTTGTTTTACATTGTTATTTGTATATGTCTTTTGGTGTTGTTCAGTTGTATGTTGTGAAAGAGCACCTTATTTCGTTGTTCTCAGGTTCTGAGTACAATGACAATAAATTTATCTATCTATCTATCTTTCAGTACTGGAAGACGGGATAGAGAAGATCTCCACAGCCATCATGTACTTCCCTTTGGTGCTCAGATAGATGGGGACAAAGGTCAGCCAAACACTGCAGAAACCAACATGGTCAACAGAGGTGGTATTCAGCATGTTCTGACCAGTTCTGGAGAACCGGTAGTGGAAATTTTGAGTAGTTTGGAGAACTGGCAAGTACCACCTCTGACTGCCCCCCCATCTATTATCTGCCTCCCAAGTCCCAGCTGATCAGCTGGGTCTTCTTTTGTTGTTCTGCACAGGAGAACAGAGCTGGAAATAAGGATAGTGGGGTGGGGGAGGGAATGGGGATTTTGCAGTAACCTTCCTGTGATGACCCAGAGTTTATCAGAAATATAACAAAATCCAAAACATAACTAAAAGTCCTTTAATGCCTTCAACTTGGATTCACTGCTTAATTGTTCACAGTGGAGGAGTAAACTATTTTCAAAATAACATTTCAAAGGCAAGAAACACAGTTCAGATTCAAAGAGCTGATAACAAAGCAAGAACCAAAAACAAACTGCATTGAATAAAGTTCCTTGACAGACCAGGATAGATAATTTCCAACTTCAGGAAGATAACTAGGGACAGTCCATTGGAAAAACGCCAGCCAAGATAAACCTTCTTTAGAAATAAAACACTAATTTATCTCCAGCATCTGTTAGCATGCAGGTTCATACTCTTATACAAATCTCCCACCTGCAACCCATGAAGAGGATCATGGCCCTCTCCTCCCAGGTAGACCATGTTTTACCCTGATCCTCTCCTCCCTGTTTGGCCTAGGATGAATAGGGGATGGACCTGGGTCCTCCTCTCACTGCTCAGCCAGCCTCTGCCCTTACCCAGCCTCCTCCACCACCTCTGGAACCACACTTCCACTCCTTGTTGGCTGTTCCTCCTCTTCTTCAGAGTCAGTATCCACCAGGGGCATGACACTTCCCCTGCCATGCCCACCAAACCAAACCACTCCCACCAAGCCATGCCTTGCCTACAGAACCAGTAGTAAAAAAAATTTTGAATCCCACTACTGATGCTGAAAGTGATGAACTTGGCTTCATTAAAACTGTCTGGTAATTATCTGGCTAGGAAGGCCATAGTGAAGCTGAGAAGGGCCAAGAAGCCCATATAGACTAAGACACAGTAAACCATGGTGATGGAACCTTCATGCCATTTGACTATGATTTCTCCAAGGAGTGTCTCTATGTCCAGGGGGAAAAAACTGAGAATTAGATATAAACTACGGATTTGAAGTGTGCTTCCTAGGGGTTTGGAATATGTACACAACACTGCTCTTTATGAATGTACCACTTTGGATGACACCACAGGAAGCCTTTTTCAGAAAAGAAGTTATGGGGAAGCCATATTAATGAACCTTTGACCAAATAATGCTTTTTAATTCTGGTAAACCTATCATTAGTTGGAGTCAGGAGGATGTGTCTGTCACTGATTTATGTATTTACAATTGAGAGAATGGTTTAACCTAGATTAAAAAAATTTATGGGTTTGACTTCGTAAATTTGAAATAGTATTGTGTAATATTGATGAACATGTTATTGCCAAAGTTTATAAATTGCTACTGAATGTGTGAAGAATTGCATGATTCAAGAGACAAAGAATTATTAGCATAATATAATGCTTGAACAATGGGAAAATATGTGGACCGAAGTTTTAAAACTTACAGTGAATTATGATTTAATTTTTTTTATAAAATGATGTACTGATGTATTTAACACACAACAAACTGTGCAAAAGGTACAAAACTATTTCAAATGTGCAGTATGTTGGAAATGTAAATGCAAGGAAAGAACTTTTTGCCATGTTTGGTGGACTCGTAATAAAGCAAAGACATATTTGGCAAGAATCATATTTTAATACAAAAGATTCTTAAAAAGAATATAAAAACTAAACCAGAGACTTTTCTTTTAGACTTAAAGGACAAAGAAGACAAAGAAAAATATGGAACCTTATATATTCTGAAGAATGCTTTAGGCACAAAAATGGAAAGATACTCTAATTCCCAAAATGGATGAATGGCTTGGAAAAACTGATGGAACTGGCAGAGATGGCTAGTTTCTGGATTTTGTGCTTGAGTTGGAAAAAAAAATGAAGTGTTGACTTTGGCTAATTAGATAAATTTGTTCTTATAGAAATATCTAGTATATATTAAGTATGTAAAAGTAAAAAGTTGAGGCTGCAATATTTTATTCTATAGCACTAAAAAGAGTGAGAATTTCTTTCTTTCTCTTTCTCTCTCTCTCTCTCTCTCTCTCTCTTTCTTTCTTTCTTTCTCCTCCTTTCCTTTCCCCTTTGCTAATTATTTTTATTTTTACTTATATTTTATATATTGACAAGTTTAATAAAACCATGAAAGAAATGTTCAGTTGATCTTGAGGTTGGTTCACAATCTATTCTATCTTCTATCTATCTATGTCTATCTTGATATTGACACAGTTTTTTCTTACAACTAGAACTGATTTCTAAAACATAATAAACCCAAACTGAATAATTTAATTAACACATATGGACAACTCCCTGTTGGACAAATTAATAAAGACTCCCTCCCAAATAACGCTGATTCTCTGAAGAATTCTAAGATGAAAATTTAATGGAGTTTGTTTGTACATGAGTAAATTGTTTACTAAAAGATACTTTTTATGTGTATTAATGGAACGGAGAAAAAATATTGAATGTAATTATTTTGAAACATGCACATCTCCAACAGATTACTTATTTATTGATGGATATGAGGGTGGTTTTACATATAGACCCAATTAGTATTTGCTGATTCAAAATCTGATTTTGTTCTTCTATTTCTTATGGACTAAATGTTCTCTAGTGTTGAGTTCAGGCCTCAGTATAATTATTTGGTTTTTGGGGATGAAGATGCATCCTAGTAAACCAGCACTGGAAGACAAGATAGAAAAGATCTCCACAGCTACCATGTACTTCCCTTTGGTGCTCAGGTAGGTGGGGACAAAGGTCAGCCAAACACTACAGAACACCAACATTCTGAAAGTAATGAACTTGGCTTCGTTGAAACTATCTGGTAACTTCCTGGCCAGAAAGGCCACAGTGAAGCTGAGAAGAGCCAAAAGGCCCATGTAGCCCAAGACACAGTAAAACATAGTGAATGAACCTTCATGACATTCGACTATGATTTCTCCTTGGAGGATCTCCATGTCCAAATCTGGAAACGGGGGAGATGTACTCAGCCAAACAATAGAAATACTTAGTTGAATGAAGGAGCAGAACCAGATAATGGAATAGGCCAACTTTTGCCCCACCCATTTGTGGAACAGGCTTCCTGGCTTTGAGGCTAGGAATGCTACAATGACTGTGATGGTTTTGGCCAATATAGAAGAGATTGCAGTAGAGAAGATGATGCCAAATGTTGTTTGTCGGAGGAGGCAGGTCACCTTATTGGGGTGTCCAATGAACTGAAGTGAGCAGAGGAAACAAAGGAAGAGGGAGACAAGTAGAAGGTAGGTGAGGTTGCGATTGTTGGCTTTGACAAGGAGAGTGTCCTGTTGCTTAATGAAGATTGCAAGCACAAGACCTGTGGAGAAGGAAAAGAGAAGAGCCAGGGAAAGCAGAGTAATGCTCAGTGGCTCTTCAAAGGAGAGAAAATTCAAGGTCTTTGAAATGCACTCATCATGAGCTTCATTTGGAAATTGATCCTCTGGGCAATGTTCACATTTTTCCAGGTCTGAAAAGAATAAAAGAGTTTCTGAACAGAATCAAACATTTCCCAAAATTCAGAATTGCTTTTCTAGACTCCCTAGCAAAGTAAATATTCATAAATCTTTTGTAACTCTCTATTCAATGCACATGTAAAAAAAACCTGAGTACTGAAGGGAAAAAACACGTCGATTTTTCTACATTACAATCCTATTGGCTTATTGGAGTGTACTAAATTTGTAGTATTTCTGAGCAAAAGAACAGCATGTGACATTTTCTAAATATCTTTCAGCTAAAAGAGAAAGGAGAAAGGAGAAGCTTTAGATCCTGGAAAACAGGCAATTAGCACTAGAGTATAGGAGATACTTTATTGGAGATGCTTCATCATTTGAGTTAGCTTCAACTCAAGGATAGAGAGATGGCCTACAGGATTTCCCTTCTTTTTCCTGCCTTGAGATGCATCAATAAAGCAAGCAATAATATTGAAGAGATTCTTTTTAATTAGGCTGCAGAAATGAATTTTTAGACAAAGGTTCATTTGAGAGCTATGAATCTTACCCATTTGTCTGGATATCATCTTTTCTGGACACCAAACACAAACATAGCAGCAAAATTTCTTCCCTTCAATTTTGTTCTTTATTTTTCCAAGAGGGCAAGGGTCGTTGCATAATGAGACAGGAGGCAGCAATCCCCAAAGAAACAAAAATTGGTGAGTATTAACCTTATGTTTTTGTTTTTGCTTATAGCCAATGAATATGAATGAAAAAGTGGAGACTCAGCCATGCCATGAAGGAGACTCAGACTGCTTAACCATGAAAAATGTTGTCAGATCCAGGAATACAACTGAGTTGCATTTCATTTTTATTAGCTTAACCGAAGTTGAATTAATGAAATACAGCCCAAGTTTATATCCAGAGTTTGATTATTACCAATATTCTTCCACATTCAAGTTGCTGGTTACCACCTATAAAGTCCAGCAGGGCTTAGGACTTGGCTACATGATGCCCTGCCTATCTAGGCATTGTATCTGCCTAGGTGGTTCAATCTGGCAGGATAGTGCAAAAGGATGCAACAGTTCTTGGAACTGTTGAAAGGACTGTGTTGTAATAACAGTTCCAAGAGGCTCCTCACCCATTTGCACTACTCGGGTGACATTGACAACACAGAAAAACCTCCAGGTGGCCTCAACAACTCTCCAGAAGAATGGAAAATGACTGGCTGTCTGCAAGGAGTATAAATCTTTCCAATCCCATCATCCAGTCAGAGCTGAAGAAGCTTTTTTGATAAGAAGCAAAATGTCTTCAAATATAAACAAGAAAGTCCAGTTGCCTCTAGAAAAAGCACCTTTGGAACAACTATGACCTGAGAATCTCCATAGACAACAAGTTTAGGAATTTTTCTTCATAGATATTAACCAGGTTGAGAATTCCTTAAGAAAAAGAGATTT